ATATATATATATATATATATATATGTGAAGTATATAAGAGAATTTATTGTGTAGTCCAAATCTAGGTTCAATTTAAAAGTGAAATAAATAAATATTCATAACTTACATGTCTATATTAACTTGGACATAAATGAAATAGTCAATTATTTATGGTTAAATAAATTACTCAACTACTTAAATTTTTTGACTTGGATAGTTTATACATAATTAAATTTGTTTTAATTAATGAAACAATATAAATGTTATAATTATACTTAATATTCACATAGATTTTAATATATATTTTAAAATTTTACCAGAATATTTATTTATGGAATCACATTGTAGTCAAATCACATTTCCGAATAAAATTTTAAAATAACACTCATTTTAAAATTAATATAATATAACTTATTATCAGTTATGTGCACCGTACGGGTTGTGAACTAATTTTTAGTAATCATGTTTTATGTAATTTTGAACAATTTAAATTTCATATAACATTTTCAATAAATTAGTTAAATTGTATCACATATTGATTTCATATTTTTGATTTATAAATTTTATTTAATGAACATTTTTAATTTGTAAATGTTAACTAATATCTCTTACCCCAATTTTTAGATTATTTGTAAGAAAAACTCAATTTCTCTCTCTAGCGATTAAATCGTTTCTCCAATTTCTCCCTGCCGCTCATCAATCTCTCTACTTCTCGGCCTTCCCCGGTGACGGATTTGCTCCGGCCAATGGTCATCTTCATCTGCTCGCTCCACTCCTAACTTGCGATCCTCTGATGTTGCTGTGGGTGGCTGACGTAAGATGGTCGAACCTAGGGTTCCAGTTAGTGGCTCGATCCGTGGTGCATCTTCCGGGAAGAGTACAGTCTGCGATTCGGTCGCCGGCAGGTCCTCAATTCGAAGTCGTTATCTCGCGTTTCAGCCTCGGGTCTACGGTTTGGGGTTTCTCCCGTTTCGGGTGATGACTGACCTTCAATTCCGTCGACTTGCTGTGGTGAGGTGTGTAGGTATGCGGTGGGGTGGGGCTTTGGTAGCATCGTGGTAGGGCGTGGCTTCGGTTGGGTCCTCTGCATTGGTTGCCGGAGTTGTGGAATGAGCCGCTCCCTCCCTTCTCTGTCGGCTAGTGGTGTTAGGCGGCGGGGGACCGGGTTCTTCCGGGCTCGGCTAGTGGTGTTAGCCGGGTTCGAACGGGTGGAGCTGGAGTGGGGTTGGTTTTTTGTTCTCTAGGTTGGAGATGGGACGATTCGGATATTGGTTCGGGGCTTGATTTCGACTACTGTATAGGCAGTTTGCAGTTTCTGTAGTGGTTCTCGGGCTTGGATTTTTTTTTTTTTTTTTTTGTCATTCATTCACTGTTGGTTGGGTAAGCTCTTTCGCTGGGGAAGGGCTTTATGTGTTTTTGTTTTTTGTAGTCTTGTTTCGTGTCGTTTGTGTTGTTTCGCGTTAGTATTGTGTTTTAGGTCTGGGTCGTTGGCCTTTGTGAGACCGAGTGTCAACTTTATTACCCTGTTGGGGTCGGACACTCGGGTATTACCCTGTTGGGGTCGTTTTTAGTGTTTAGTGTTGTTGGGGTCGTTTTTAGTGGTCTTGTGCTTTTAGTGTTGCCGAGTATTACCCTGTTGGGTCGGTCTTTAGACGGTCTTTGACCTGTCATCTCATTTTTATTTAGCTGTTGGTTGTTTGTATTCAGTCGTTGGCTGTTTGTATTCAGCTTGTAGATGTCCTTTTGCACCTTTGTGCGCATTTATATAAGATCTCTTTTACCCGTGTATCGCATGAGATTCGTACTAGTTAACTAATAATAAAGTTAACATATAAAAGTTTTTTTTTCCAAACTATTTATTTAAAATTATTGGTTCTTTTTTTTTTTCAACTCATTAAGCAATTTTTATTAATTAAAATTAATTAATTAATTTCTATTCTAAATCCATCACCAATGACGCATAGCTTATGTTATATTATTTTAAATTAAAACATAAAATAATGTTTGCAAAAGGAAATACCATTGTAGCCAATATAAAGGGTGGTGCATGCATTTTTTCCTACATTGCAATTGACCAATCTTTAATTTCCCTCAAAAGTCGTCCACGAACAGGTAAACCAGACTCTACAAATACAGAAATCCTAAAATGGTTTGTTTCTTACCAATAAAACTATATTTGCCAATTATTAGCAACACATATCCCATTCCTTGTAATCAGAATTCAGAAAACAATATGTCCTTATGTTTCTGTTTCTGCTGGCTTCTCCTCCCAATTTTGTTGTATCCTTGTTGGGCCAACTCCAACTCCATCACCCTCTCCCTCACCACCCAATCCCATGATCACCACTCTGAAAACAGCAGCCCGCTCAGCCTCATGGCCTACGCGTCCATTCAAAGGGCCCGACACCTAAAGCGGCGCACCTCCACCAGTACCAGTACGCCTCTCTTCCCCCTCAGCATTGGCGAATACTCCACCACCCTCGGATTCGGAACACCGCCGCAGCGCCTGGGCTTCATCATGGACACCGGAAGTAGCCTCGTCTGGTTCCCATGCGGGGACAACTACAAGTGCACCTCTTGCAACACCAACAATATCCCCACCTTCGACCCGAAATCATCATCGTCCTCAAGAAGCGTCACCTGCACCTCCCCCCAACTGAAACGGTTCTTTCCCGAATTTCCACTCTGCACGTCCTGTTGGAAACACCCCATTCCCACCCCCTCCTGCTCCAAACAACACTTAAACTACTCAATCCTTTACGGGCTGAGAAACACGACCGGAACATATCTGTTAGAGTCTTTAACCCACCCGGCCCGAAAGATTGTGCCCGACCTGCTCGTCGGCTGCTCCGTTTCCTCGGACCACATGCAACGTGATGGCATCGCAGGGTTCGGGCGCACCAGCGAGTCCCTGCCCG